ATTATGTCGTGGTGGGGTGAATTGTGTTGTATATATGTGGTATATGCGTTGCATATGTGTAGTATATGTATGTGTAGTATATGTATGTGTAGTATTTGTAACCCGGCAACGTAAGACGAGTGCCTCTTCGTTTAGTTAGGTCAACTGAGTGCCTTTTCATATACGCTTCCACAAACTAATGTACAGTTAGGTTAGGTTATCTGTATGTGTTCCTACGCTTCTGGTATAGCAAACCCACTTCAAATTGAACGTTTGTCAAATCGGGAGAACTAGTTGAAATAAAACGTCAAAAGGAGGGGTCTAATCTAATGGCCATTCTTTAATGGTTTCCCATTGTCGAGGACTGAATGCCTGTAAAATACTTTGACACCTTGTCCTGTCAGTTCCTGGAAGCGACAATGCTAATATATTATGTGTATTAATGAAATGCGTAATTATGTGTATTAACTGTGTATAAATGAAATGCGTAATTATGTGTATTAACTGTGTATTAATGCATTGCTTTTAAAGTTATATCAAATCAGGTTCAATAATGTGTCGACGGAAAATTTTTTATATAATTAGATATCGATGAAGATCTCTCCCAGTCAATTTCGTGAGTAAAGATTCAAATACATTCTAAATAGGGTCAAACATACAAAGATTATAAATTTCGAATTAAGTTTTTAATATTTAAATATTTTAAGTTATTCATCAGGTAAGATAAGGCAAGGTAATTATTAGGAGAAAGCGCTAACTCAATATGACCCTAATATAATACTTCATGAGGGAGATATGAGGATAATGAGCTGGAATATGAGACTTTGTGAGGGAGATATGAGGACATGAGATTTGAGACTTCATGAGGGAGATATGAGGATAATGAGCTGGAATATGAGGAAGAGGTGAAAAGGAACGGAACCAGGTCCATGCTCTCATACCCACTCCAAGTGCTGTTTAGAGCTGTATATAAATAAATAAATAAATAAATAAATAAAATAAAGTCGTATATGTCTTAACGCTAAAACACCCCCGATATCCCCCCTAACCTTGCCTTACCTGTGGGGCTGGTGCGAGAGTAGAGAGAGAGAGAGAGAGAGAGAGAGAGAGAGAGAGAGAGAGAGAGAGAGAGAGAGAGAGAGAGAGAGAGAGAGAGAGAGAGAGAGAGACAGGGGACATCTCTGTACCAAGCCACCGACTGTCTTGTGGTAACAAGTTGTGGTTCTGTGACGTCAGCACCATTTGCCATTCACTGTGTCGTTAGCGAGAGTGTGAGGCTGAGACTCAGGATTCTCACGACTCAAAAATATCCGTTAGACATTAGTTGCCGCAAATGTTCATTAATGCCATTGCTTATCATTATTTCTTCTTCTACTATTAGGGAAATTCAACATTTTGGCTTGTATGTTTACTCACATCATTGTGCTTTTAGGGTCAGGCTTCAACTCTTGAACCCCACCAATAACATGAGGTTTATTTAAAACCTACTTTCTAGTTTCTATGATTATTGATTAAAGTTA